ATATATATATATATATATATATATATATATATATATATATATATATATATATATATAGGCACGAGTATGTAACCATGAACATGTGTATCTGAGTAAGTTTGCGTTTCCACGTACCTACATATAACTGTAATATAAAGACGTACATATATATCAATATTTAGATATGCATTTGAAGGTACATTTATACATAAATCCATAGAATGGATTTACTCTATATGTTTTATTTATACGCACAAATCTTCCTCTGTGTTACAGATTTCGCTTTGTTTGGCGGGCGCCGTCCTGGCCGACCAGAGCTCACACGTAAGCATCAGTCTCGGCGGCGCTCCTGCTGTCAGCCATCACAGCTCCTCTCACCACGCGCGCCCTTCGTACCACCACCAACCTGCCTACCACCCACAACCCTCTTATCACCCCCAACCTTCCTACCACCCTGCTCCCGCTTATCATCCACAGCCTTCCTATGAACACGAGCCTGCTGTGCCAGCATGTGCTGCCAACACAACCAAACCATGGTGCCTCGAGGACGCTCACTATCCCACCTACGAGATCAAACACGCAGCCGAGCACCACTACGAGAAGCTCCTCTCCATGCTGACGTGGCCCAACTCAACACCGAGTTGTCTGTGGAGCGACCAAACACCCTGGAAGAGGAAACTTACTTGTGCCCATCAGAGACCGCTTACGTCAGGCCCCTTCGTGCACAGAACACCGAAGACAAATGGCGTGTCATTGTAAATAACATCGATGCCCATTATCAGACTCTCACTCAGACCGCACGCATCGAAGAGTGTCTCACTTCCGCCGATGCATGTCCTCTGGTGCCTGACTGCTACGAGTCCAAGTGTCTGCAGAAGTCCATCTACCACCGGTTCCTTGTCTACGACCCCTATGATCAGTACTTCCCCTTCGCCATCGAGACCTTCAAGCTTCCCGCCAGCTGTGCCTGTCTCTTGGGCGCCTACACCATCGACCATTAGTCTCCAAACCACTGATCTCAAAACACATTAGGAGGGAATAGGACTTGACACGAATTCTGCAGTATATTTTAACTTCTTTAGTGTCCTGGAAACATACCATTGCAAAGACGTGAAGTACGTGAAGAAAGCAGTTCTCTAGTCATTTTGCCGGGATTGGTAACATTGAAAAGGACGTTTAAATCCCTCTTTAATGTAATATCAAAATAAATGCTGTGTTAGATATATTGGATATCAATCTACCTTTCATTAGGAAAGACCCTCTTTTTCTCTACACAAAACACCTACACAAACACGTATGTATAAGTAAGTATGCATGTATATGTCCTACAACGGATGTTAAAAAGGCTGGGGTAAAGAGAAATAGAATATGTACACATACATACATATATGTATGATATATACATACATATCCCTCTTTTCATATATATACATATATATATTTACATATGTGTGTATGTCTATCTATATGTATATATATATATATATAATATATATATATATATATATATATATATCTTTGTGTATATATATGTATGTGTGTATATATACATATAAATATATATATATATATATATATATATATATATATATATATATATATATATATATACATATATATACATATATATATATATATATATATATATATATTCCACATTAACGCCTAAGCTATGTCCTAAGACTTTTTCTATAGTAACTGTCAAAGGTCTTTTATCTTTTTCATGCCCCTTCTTATATGCTCTCTCTCTCTCTCTCTCTCTCTCTCTCTCTCTCTCTCTCTCTCTCTCTCTCTCTCCTCTCTCTCTCTCTCTCCTCTCTCTCTTCCACCAGTCAAACACCGAGGCAGGAATAAAATCTTTCAATCTCGTAGAGGGCGCGACGAAGCAGCCAAAAGTCGGATTTGGTGTCTGTTTTTTGGCCCAATCTATGCCAGGACGCTTTCAGTATGTACCACTATGACCAAAAAATAGGACCAGTCTGCTGTAATCTTATTTCCGATAGCTCTTTGCATTGTGATAATAATTTTTACACACACACACACACACACACACACACACACACACACACACACATATATATATATATATATATAATATATATATATATATATATATGTGTGTGTGTGTGTGTGTGTGTGTGTGTACATATATATATATATATATTATATATATATATATATATATATATATATATATATATATATATATATATATATATAATATATACATAGACATATATCTGCATATGTATATATACATATGTATATATACAAAGATACAGATACATATATATCTTTATTTTTATACATGCATATGTCTGTGTGTATGTGTATATTTGTGTGTATATATATATTTTATTAATTCACACATATATACATATGTAATAATATATATATATGTAATATATTTTTTTTTTTTTTTTTTTTTTTTTTTTTTTTTTACAACGCATATATGAATTTGTTTCCCAACAGAACATACATGCAGTGAGAGAAAAAGAGAAAGATGGATAATGAGGGAAATAGTTGCGTAATGAGAGAAATAACATATTAATGATAATGCTAATAATGAACATGGTCATGGTAATGATAATAATTATAAAATTATAACAATGGGAAAAATTGAAATCATATCAACAGTGATGATAATAAGGGTAATGGTAATGATAACAATAATAATGATATGAATAGTGATATAGTAATAGTAATAGTAACATTGATTGCAATGGAATTGCAACAGTAGTAATAACAATAATACGGTGCTCTCCATGGTGATGTGATGATAAAATGAGTTTTACAAGCTCATTGATTACATTGATAATGATAACATGTGAAAATGATAATATTGATAATGTAACATTAATGAGAAAGATAATTGTTGTCATTATTATATTTCTTAACATTGGAATTCACGATTCCAAAATAGTGATTATGATACTATAATTATGATAATGATAATGAGAATAATAGAAGAAGCAGTAATAGTAATGAAAATATTGATGACGATAGTGATAATGATAAAACAAGAAATGTAATAATGATAGTGATAATGTTAATGATAATGGTAAAAGTAATTATAGTGATAATAATAATAACAGTAATAATAGCAATTATAATGATAGTATTAATGATAATAGTAATGATAATGGTAATAGTACCAATGATAATAACAGTAATAATGACAATAATCACATTGAAACAGCTTCATTTCTATTATAAATCATGCAAGGATTATCTTTAGTAGTACTTTTTGTGCGTGTAGCACCCCTAAAAAGTCCCGGTATTGTTCACTCGTCTTTAACGCAAAGAACAATGTGTGTTGTGATTTCCAATAATTTCTTTTTTTCAGATTCGTAACCTTACCATTTTCTCCATCACCATTTTGAAATTCATACATAAACACACACATATATATTCGTACATATAGGGCGCTACATCTGTAGTGTACATATAGATACGGAGATATAGACTGACGGATAGGTAGACATATAGAAAGGTATATGTACATATATATATAGATAGATAGATAGATGTTCGTTTATCTATTCATTTATAGTACACACACACGTATATGTGTGCATATACATGCATACATATGTATCTATATCTATATCTATATCTATATATATATATATATATATATATATATATATATATATATATATATTCATATATATATGTACACATACATATGTGTGCTTATATGTGTGTACATATATAAATATATATATGCATACACGCGCCCGCATATGAATATATATATATATATATATATATATATATATTATATATAATATATATATATATAATATATGCATGCTTGTGTATGTAAGTGCGCGCGCAAACGTGTATGCATGTCTATGTATACATTCGCAGATATGCTTCCTGTATACCGTACCTCTTGGTGTGTTTTTATGTTAAACTGCGTGTTACCAAATCTACACCTATGATACTCCGGATCACTTTCCCAATATTCAACCTTGGAGTCGTCATCTGGCGCGGGCCGCGAGGGCGTGGCCAACGTATAGCTGGAGTATATAAACTCGGTAGGAATGAATGGACAACAGAACGATTCTCGTATCTGTCTGCTTATCTCATCATGGCTCTTTCGTTGGTATGTTCTGACAATATTGCCAGTTAAACCCGTCTTTACTGTACAATCTAAAGACCACGAAATATTGATTTTATTCTAATGCCGATTTCTGCTTTCCAGGCGGTCGTTCTGGCATGCGCCGGAGTCGCGCTGGGCTCCGTCCATCCCCCGGTATATGGCCATCACCCACAGCCCGCTTACGGTCACCATGCGCCTGCTTACGGTCATCATGCGCCTGCTTACGGTCACCAGCCTGCCTACGAGCACGGTTACTGCGACCCAAGTGTCGCCCCCGCCTGCGCTGCCAACTCCACTCTCTCCTACTGCTTGGAAGACGCTGAGTACCCCGAGTACGAGATCAAGGCTGCCATCACTGCCGATCACCTCTTCGCCAAGAAGTACGCTGACGTCGCCGACCAGTCTGCTGACGACCTGGTAGACATGATTACCAAGGACCAGGAGGAGGCCTTCGACTACTCTTACTACACTGGGGCCTCCACTGGGGACTCTCCTTATGCCACCCACTGGGCTGGTCCTGAGGGTTACATCTGTCCCTCCGAAGTGGTGTATGCCATGCCCAAACGTGCCCAGAATGTGGAAGGCAAGTGGCGCGTCATTGTCAACGACGTGCACTATTACAGCCAGACTGCCCGCCTCGAAACCTGTCTCTTCCCAGAGGCTGCTTGCCGCGCCCTTGCTCCTTGCTACCAGAGCCACTGCACCCAGAAGTCAGTGTACCACCGACTACTCTCCTACGATCCGTGCGACCCCTACAAGGGTCTCTTCATCGACATCTACAAGATGCCCTCGGCCTGCTCCTGCCATCTTCCCGCCTAATGCGCCACTACGACGCTGCTCAACGGATCGCCACTCTTCACACACCAACACCTAACACTCTATGGCCACAACCCCTGCAAGGCCGCCCCTTAATGCGGAGAGAACACCCACGTGACTGGAGAACTGCTTTCTTCACGTACCGCCACTAGTCATGCCAGGAACTCCCGGGACGCTCCGCCGCTGCTCTCTCTCTCTCTTCCCTTTTCAATTTCCTCTCCTCATTGTGTGCGAGAAGTCTACTGTAATATTTTTGAAATAAATTATTGATCGAGTAATTTGTACAATTTGCTACTTCCTTGCATATATACGTGATTGATATAGACATATTATCATGGTATTTATGAAAATGTTTTCAATGCTATGGCCAGGGGCATTTAATTTGTGGGACTTTGTGCTAGAGCCCCGGAGATCTACACGCTTACTTGTTCTTTGCACCCACAATTCACGATATTTGTATTCCCTTGTTACAATACAAACTTCCTGTATCGAGTTCATATATGCGGCTTATCATACATTTGTTAAAACCCAATTTTAAATGCAAAGGACACTGGATACGAGAATTTTGGAAAGCATGGTCTCAAAACGACAATTAGATTCTTCTTTGTTAAAGCAGTATAACATTAATGTTCATTGTAGCAAATAAAAAAAGTAAAGAAATGAATGAAGGAATGTGAAATTGATGAGAAATATATGTCATAATTTCCATTATGAACTTTACGAGAGAAAACTTTAGCTGTTCACTGAAATAATAAAGTTTGGCTTCGTGATCTTGATAATGAATGGATAAGAACTCAACCCTTACATATACGTTGTTATAAATGATAAAAGATTCGAAAAATACACGTGAACACACATGTGAATAGGGGTAAGCACAGCCACTGGCTCAAATACATATATGCCCCTCGCCATATATAAGCACGTATGTCTCTCTCTCTCTTTCCTTCTCCTCTGCGTGTGTGCGTGTGTGTATATATATATATCCATATATATACGTGTGTGTAAATATGCACACATACATACACACACACACACGTATGTATGTATAAATATATATCATATATATATATATATATATATATATATATATATATATATATATATATATATATATGTATATATATATATATATATATATATATATTATATATATATACAAATATATAACATATACATATATAGATATATCCACCTTGCCGTGGCTCAAAAGTATAAATTCGGCGTTGAAGTTCCCACGATTTATATACTTTGCCAGCCTCGGCCCGCCTGGTGGTCGTGGGATCTTCAACGCTGAATTATACACGTTGTATCTTAAAACTTGCTAAGGACTCTGAATCGATTGTTGTGATTATGGGATTGCACTAAATATATATATATATATATATATAATATATTATATATATATATATATATATATATATATGTATGTGTGTGTGTGTGTGTGTGTGTGTGTGTGTGTGTGTGTGTGTGTGTGTGTGTGTGTGTATGTTTATATATATATATATATATATATATATATATATATTATATATATAATATATATATATATATATATATATATATATATATAATTCTTATATTCTGTTCTCCTCAACCCTTCATGTTCCTTCCTCTTCAGTCCTATCAACCTCAGGCAAGCAACCGCATATGTGCGTGGATGGGTGCATGTATGTGTACATGTATGTGTCATAATTATATTTATATATGTATAGCATGTAGCGTGCATGCATATGTGCCATCTCGACTCACTCACATAATGCTCTATGCTGGCTCCTCATCGTGGTGCCACTTCATGTTTCTTACCTTTTGAATTCAGGCCATTTTTTCATCCTGTTCGTGCATATTTATCGTAATCTTTCTCGATTTGTACTTTACGCAAGATCAGTCAGTCTGTGGAGGTTTCATTCATTATTTATTTATTGTCTTGTCATCACTCATCACCCTTATTAACTGTTGTGTATATCTTTCTAACTCCAGTGCTCTCCACCTTATAGGGCCCGGCCACTCCAGCAGTGTGGCTGAATTCAAAGACCAGTGTGTTTTCGATGACTTTATTCACATATCACCTAAGTTGGCAGATGAAACTAACCAAAACACGTTTGCGTTTCATAATTACGCCGAATTTATACTTTGAGGACGTCCATTGACCGAGTGCACGAGGTTGATTGGATATTCACTATCATATAATCTACATCACGTTCATGTTCACTGATCTCTTACACCCTTTTCTCCAACTCTCCTTTTATCCTTTAGTGCTCTTTCTACTTCGCATAATCCATTTGTTTACTTGTAAATGTTTAATTTCTATGCTCTTTGTATGAACACTTAAATTGATAAATTCAACTAAAATAATATTAAATAAAAATTACCCATATAAAAATAGATTATTAATGACAATTTAACATCATAAAAAAAATAATATATTTTTTAAGTTTATTTCGTTCATTTGTGTCTAAACTCATTAAAGTAAAAATCAAATTAACAAATGAATATAATAAATAAAAATAATATAAAATTTTTATCATCGTGTTCATCTTATCATACATAGTATTTTGTACCTGATTTTCTGCTAAGTTATTAACTTATTTAAGTCTCTTCTACGTTACAAGGTTGTCTGTCATTCAGCATAAAGGGGTATGTGTAATGGAAAGTATGTACACTAATCAAAATCAATAACCTCAAACACATTTCTTGATTTTCTCAAACTATTACAACTAATATTTGTACTTTCCTAACTTAACTCGATTGCTGATTCCTCACCAATCACCCAGCGACAAAGACAAAGAAAACATGTAAGGGGTGTCGCCCCCTTAACTTTATATATCATTAAATCTCTACATTCATCTGCTCAACGTTTAATCTCTACTCACACCCCACCTATTCTCGATGCCCTTTGATGGTTTAATGTGGTATAGTTAGGAGGTAAGGAGTAGAGAGGCATAATAGGATACCATAACATGTTGTATACTTAAAGATAACTGTATCATGTGTGACATGGGAGGGGTACATCAATTTGATTATTTTATGGCTAGCGTGCTTGTGACTTTAGTCGTATCACTATTGTATCCCGGTGTGATTCAATATGTAAGAATAATAGGAATTGCATTGGTTCAACCGCACTATTCTATATCTTCATTTCTCTTCTTCCCTCCTTCTCCTCGTCTCTCTCTCTCTACCTCTACATGTCTATCTTCTTCTCTCCGCTCATTCTTCTCTCCATTTACACCTTCTATGCTTCTTGTGATCACCATCAGTACAATCTGTAATTAAGGTTGAGTTCTATCCTGTTAATAAAGATCTCATCAAACAGCAACGAGAACTTATATTGATTTAAGTTCAGTGAACAGCTAAAGTTGTTCGTCTCAGTAAAGGTGCTGCCATAAAGATGGAAGTTATGACATATATTTCTCACAATTGTACATTCCTTACTGATTTCATTACTACACATCCACACATATTACTATTTTATTATATCTTATTCTACATTCAGAGATGCGCACACAAACCACAACATATATATATATTTACTATAATAATCATATATAATAATAGATATATTATATATATATATATATATATATATATCTATATGTATGTATGTATGTGATGTAATGTATTATGTATATACTACTAATACATACATACTTCTAAGAATATTGTTATTTAAATTGTATATGAATAAACTATATTCCACTATGTATATGATGTAGTTATAGTATTATTATGTCATATAGATAGATACTATATGATATAAATACTGAAATAAAGATATTATATATATATAGCTAATATATATATAAGTCTATTTTATAATATATGTATATATATATATATATATAATTAGTATATAGTGTATATAATTAAATATATATATTATTTATACTATTTATTAGAACATTATTATACTATATATGTATTGTTATATTACTAACGTATACTAAATAATATTATATTTATCTTATACTATAGTAATATTCCGTATCTTACTTATATGATACATAACATATATATTATATATTAATTCTACCTTGCTCTTTACTGAATTATACCTATATTAGTGCTTCAGGAGTAGAGTGTTTGGTGTGGTGGTGTAGAGTGTGTGTGGTTGGTGTGCTGTGTGTAGTGTGGTGATGTGTGTGTGTGTGTGTGTGTTGATGTGCATAAAAGAACAAATTATGTGGGTGTGTGTGTGTGTTTTAGGCATGTTTTGCTGTATCGTTGTTACGTGTGTGTGTGTGGTGATGGTTTGTGTGTGTGTTGTGTGTGTGTTTGTGTGTGTGTTGTTGTGTGTGTGTGTGTGTTGTGTGGTGTGTGTGTGTGTGTGTGTGTGTGGGGTGTGGTGTGTGTGTTTGTATTGTTGTGTAGTATCATATATAAATATCCGAAATCAATATAACGCATACATATAGCACACATATTATGGCTAGTGGAGTTTTTATAGTAGTGTATGTAGTTATTCATATATAATTTACATTAATTACGGGTAAGTATTTATATCAGTATTAATTAATATATATATATATATATAATCAATCTATAAATTTGTTTTAGTGATGTGTGTCGCTTGTTTGTATGTTGTGGTGTCGCTGTGTGTATAGTTATAATATATACATATCTAATATTTCATATATATACATATTATTAACATAACATCATAAGTTATATTTTTGCATATATGTACTGTATGGTATACCTGTACTATTACTAATAGTAATGTCTCTATATATATAATATATATATATATAGTATTATATATATATTTGTAATAATATATAATAATAAAAAAAAAATAACTTAAATAATAATTAATAATTAAAATAATATATTAATTAAATCATAATTAAATTAACATTTTTGAAAATTAAAATTTATTAATTTATTTGCGGTTAAATATCGTATATATATGATATTGTGTGTGTGCTGTGTGTGTGTGGTTGGTGTGTGTGTGTGATGTGTGTGTTGTGTGTGTGTTGTGTGGTGTGTGTGTTGGTGTGTGTGTGTGTGTGTGTGTGTGTGTTTGTATGTATGTTATGTATGTATGTACTGGTATGTTATGTATGTATGTATGTATGGTATGTATGTATGTATAGAATATTA